CCTCCAGCCCCCTCTCTTGTGAGCCTGGAACAACTTTCTCTGGGTCCTGGTCTGAGCGCCCCCCCCCCCCCCCCCCCCCCCGCCCAGCCTGCCCACTGGCCTGGGCTCCTTCCCTCCTGGTGGGCAGTGCCGGGTGACCTCACAGTTCATCCCCATGGCAGTAGATGTGATGTCACGGGGTCTTTTTGGGCCCCCCCACAAAACTGCTTGGATTCCAGGCCTCCCAAGGGACAAGAGTAAGGAGAGCTGGGGGGGGGGGGGGGGGCGGCGGGCGTGAGGAATTCTGGACGGAATGTTCCTCTGGAGGCTGAGTCCGCATTCTGCGTCCCCCACCCCCACCCCTGGACTCAGGCTTGGGCACCGCCCCCCATGCCCCAGCCTTTTCCTTCCTCCAAAACAGCTTCCCACAAATGCATTTTTTCCCAGCCCACCCTCTCTGCAGGCCACCACGGGTCCTGCTGCAGGAACCCCTAGGCAGTCACCTCAGCAGTCCCCGCCTGCCATCTCGTCACTTAGGCCCCTCTGGGTCCGCACAGTGGAGGAGGGGTGGAGCATGATGGAGAGGGCGCCTGTGTCTTTTTTTGGGAAAAAAAAAATGAGGGAAGGATGTTGAGCTTCCCTTATCGACCCYGAGGTTCCCAACCCTCCAATTCAGGATGTGCTCTCTGTTGTCTGATCTCACTCCCTCCTGCTGCAGCCCGTTTCCTCCTCTTCCTATAGAAGGAGGGAGAAGAAGTCTCTTCCCAGGGAGGCCCTGAGACCGGGGAGTGCTGCCGCTGGTCTCTTCTAGCTGAAGAGAGAGAGTTTGTTCCCCAGAGAAGGGCAGCTGGCGAGAGTGAGAGGGACGGAGGAAGATTAGCACCAGMAAGGGGAGGGGCAGCATGGATGGTCTGTGAAGAGCAAGGGTCAAACGCCAGCTCTCCTTGGTGACTGTGTGGCCTTGGGCAAGTGGCTGAATCTCTGGGACCCTCGGTTTCCTCCTCTGTAAAATGGGATACTGCTGACCTCCCAGGGAGACTAAGAGAATTGCTGGTCAGGGGAACCAGGGGCGGACGCGGTGTCCAGGGCTTCTTCAGCGCTGGATGAGGRGGTGTTATCTTGCTTTAACTTTGTCTCATCTCTAGACCCGGCCAGGACTGGGGGAGGGAGGTGCAGGATCTGAGGAGGCATGGCTCCCGGGATTGGGCGGACGTGCTTGCAAGACCCGAGAGGGATGCCTCCTTAAATGTCATGCCTAAGTCCTTGTCACCCGAGGCCCACCTTGCTCCAGACTCCCTGTTTGGAGACCCTAGAGTGGGTGGTCCACGGAGAGGAGGGACTGGCTTCTAGCACCAGTTCCATACCTGTCACCTGCCCCCACGGTGGATTCTGAGTCGGCCGGCTGGAGTCAGAGGTGCTTTTGGACAGTCCTGTGGGGCTGGGAGTCACTTGGGGAAGACTGGGGTCCTTAAGTTGCAGGTTTGGTCCCAGGAGCGGGTGGGGTGTGGTCAGAGGGAGGGCGCTCTCCCTCTCTGGTCTCCATCTGCGTCTGCCCCCTACAGCCGAGCTCTCGGGGCCCAGTCTGTGGGTTGACTGGGGACTCGGGGTCAGCGGCAGTGCCAGGAGCTTGGCAGGGTGCTCCGCCAACCTGGGAGTCAGCCCCGGCTCTGCCATGCACCTCRCCACATGACATCTGTGGGTCGTCCCTCTCGGCATCTCATCCCAGTTGTGGAGCGGAGGAGGGAGGGGATGAGGTCTCAAGACCCTCTGATGTGGTGTGAGAGATGTCCTGTGTGTGCGTGTGYGGCAGGTGTAGAAACTAAGCAAGGGTGGAGGTCCAAGGTCGTGGGCAGCCAAAAACTACACAAAGRTGGAAATTAAGGATCCCTAGGGTGCCAGTTGCGTGGCCAGTGAAGGGTCAGCATGGTGGTGAGGGCTCTCTGCGTGCCAGGCACTGTTCTAGGCTCTGGGAGTGGTAGGGAAGTGGCTTATATTTTAGTGAGAGGGTGACAGGGGCTCTCTGCAGCCATCTGAACTCTGGGGCTGTTGCTCAGCTCAGGCGACCACAGCTCTGGGTGGCTGATAGCTACCCAGTGGCCCCTGTCTCCCTGCAGGGCCCAGGATGTGGTCTAGAGGGAGACGGTGGCCCTGGGACTGGCAGGGCGGGAACAGAGGGACAGACTTCAGCCCCGGGAGCTTGTGCCGGGGGCTGKGTGTGCTCTCGCTGTGGGACAGCTCTGGTGTTTAGGTCAGGAGGGGCTCTTGGAAATTTTTAGCTTCTCAGAAAGCATGCCTCCGAAAGATGTGGAAGGCATCTGATCTCTGGCAAGTGTCACCCTGTGGCCGGCCTCCAGCTGGCAAGGGGAAGGGTGGGGACAGAGGGGCTGGTGCTCGGATGATGGCTGGCAGGAAGAGAAAGCTGCTCTTTCTTTGCTGAGGCCTGCGGTTTCTCCTATTGACTCTGCCCCCCTCCYGTCTGCCCCCTGCCACACTCGGGAGCGCTGGCAGGAGGGTCCGGATGGCTTTGGGGTCTGTGGGGTGGCCCCAAGGCTGAGAGGATAAACAGTAGCCATGGCCAACATGCACGGAGAGTCCCTTGCCCCAGGCTCTATGAGCCTAACCCTTTGGTCACCACAGAAGAACCCTAGACAGCCAGTAGGGGCAGAGTGACCCTCTCAGGGTACCAGCTAGTTAGCAGCAGGGGACCTGGGTGTGGCCCAGGTGGGCTGCAGGCTGCTGGGGTTTCTCAGAGTCACCCAGGGACCTGGTGCAAATGGTGATTCCCGGTCCCTCCGTGGATGTGACTGGCGGGGACCCTCTGGGGGAGCCGGACCTCGTGGGTCAGCAGCCCCTGGGCAGGCTTAAGTTTGAGACTTGGGCTCACACCCTGCTGAGACCTGGGCCTCTTAGGACTTCTGACTCAGGGGAGGGAGTGGAGGGGCTCTTCCGGGACTGGAGAGGCCTAGGGCAGGCACTTGGGTTCCTTCCGCAGCCCACCCGYGTCCTTTCTACAGAGGCAAGGTAGCCGAGCGGTCAGCAAGGGCTGTGGAGCTGGGAGCTCGGGCCTCGCCTCTCGCCTCTCATCCCGTCCTGTGTTGACTCTGCCCGTGGAACATTCTGGGGTCTGCCTTCCAAGAGCCTCCCACTCCAGGGGACCAGAGCTGCTCAGAGAGGAAGCAGTCTGGCCATCCTGGTGGACGTGAGGCCTCCACATGAGCATGACAGAGCCCTGGAGAGCAGAGAGGGCCAGCGGGCTGAGGACTCCCCAGGGCAGGCTGACCCCTCGTGGAGGGGTGGGTGGGATGGGTTTTTGCAGGAGGCACAACCTGCCCAGCCTGAGCAGGTGGCTCCKAGAGCTCCGGCTGCTGCCCAGCCTGGGCAGGGAGCCCTGGGGATTTGCAGGTGGCCTCATATATGTCCTGCCCAGGGCTCCRGGGCTCAGGAGTGGGGATGTGGGGAGGTGAGTGGTTGGGATTAGGGCTGAGCTGGGAGGGGCAGAAGGTGGCATCTTTATGTCTCCTCCAGAGCCATCCTCGGGCTTCAGGTGGGGACCCCTGAGAGTGGGGGTGGGGCGTGGCTCACGTGTGCACTGTGTCCCTGGATCCTGTCTCCTTCGCCTCCCACGCTGCCCTGGCCTTTGACTGCTCAGGAAGCCTCAGCCCCGTCTCCAGGCAGGGCAGGTAGATGCTTCCAGAAGGAGCATGGCTCCCTCCAGCTCAGCCTGCTTTCCCTCTCCCTGCCCCTCTCCGCCCACGGCTCCTCCCCGATCCCCAGCCTTCAGAAGTTCTTGGGTCCATTCCCCTGTGGTCACGAACAGTCATCCCTCCAGTCTTGGGAATGGGTCTGGGGACAGCTATTTCCTGTTCTGAGACACACAGATCATCCCATCTGTCTGGGTGCCTCGTTGCCATGGCTTGTCTCCTCCCCTGCATTCGAGCTCCATCCTGCCTGAGTCAAGGGCCCACCGCCCCTTCACTGGGCTGGAGAGGGAGCCCTGGACACTGTGGTCAGGAGGTGGGCCTGGGACAGCAGTTCTCCTTCCTGCTGTGGGGCCCCACTTTTCAGGATGCTTTTGTGGGAAGCTCTTCTGTTGGTTTGGGCAGAGGAAGGATAGCTGCAGGGTGACCAGTCCGCAGGTGTTTATGGGGACCGCTGCACACCAAGGGTCATCTCTGGCACAAGGGAGTCTTCAACTGAGTTGGTAAAAATGTTGCTTTGAATCTATTTTGGTTGATGATAGAATAAGAATCAGGAAACAATTGTTGGGAAAACAAGGCAGATCATCCCACAGTGAGATCATTACCCACTCCGGACCCAGGAAGTGGCCCAGATGGCCAGGCAGGGTGGAGTTCAGATCTCCCTACTCGGGTGGACTGGGAGGGCTTCCTGGAGGAGGAAACTCTCCCCAGAGGAAAAGAGGGGAAGTCATCCCACCAGGCAAGACCCAGATGTGGGACCAGGCAAGGAGGGTCCGGGTCTGGTGGAGCTCACTGGAGAAATAGGACCCAGGCAGGTTTCTGTCCCGGGCTACTGTGACTTCATGCAAAGGGCACAAAGTGTGAGCCTGAGATGGGGGTTCAAATCCTGTTGTTCCCTTTAGAGCTGCTGCTTTGGGGACACTCTGAATTTCTCATCTGTAAAGTGGGCCTGACCGATCACCATGGTCCCTCTCTGTCTGGAATCTTGTTGTAAATAAATAGTGCAGGTGAAAATGCCCGGCTGTTAGGAGCAAGACCACTGTACAGTTGTTCCTTGTTGCATTTTGAGGRGACAGTGGCCGTGTGGGTCAGAGGCCAGCACTGGACACCTGGCGAGGGTCCTTGCTGAAGGCCTGTAGAACTGGTGGTTTCGGCCAGCTCCGAGGGCCCCCGGTGAATAAAGAGGATTCTGATACTAAGAGGATCGACTCCATTTTCCAAATGTTGCCTCCCAAGCCTGGGGATAGCAGGTCCCTGTTGCAGCCACCAGCCCTGGGGACAGTATGCCTGAGGCCTCACACTGTTCTCTGCCTTTGTCCACAGCCCATCACCACTGAGAGTGCCCTAAAGAATGTAATGGACACAGTAAGTGACAGCAGGCTGGCTGGGTACCACCTGGGCAAGACGCAGAGGCTGGGGAGCGCCGGGGGATGTGGCTGGGACATCCTGCTGGGGTAGATTTGGTGTTCTTGGGGAAACTGGCCGGGATGCTGGTGACCCTGGTGACCCTGGGAGGTGAGCAGGGGGAGGGGGAGGGGCAGCTGGGAGGAAGGGTTAAATGCGGGCTTCTGTATTAACTATGCAGAGTGTGGGGAAGCTCTTTCCCAACAGAGCTTTCCGACTTAGCAGACAGACACCCTCAGGGCCCAGCGGGAGAGGAAGGGGGGGGGCTCTGCAGCGGAGAAACTGAGGCGAGCCCCTGAGAGGGGTCTCCTGGCAGTGGCCAGCATGAAACTCCAGGTTTGGATTGGAGAACTTGAGATCCAATCCCGACTGTGCCGAGGTTCTAATTGTGTGCAGGGYGTGAACGCTGCCTCAGTTTTCTTTTCTGCAAAATGGGAATCAGCATCTCCAGCAGGAGTGTCCTGGGATGGAAATGGGCGGGTTCGGCCAGCTCCTCGGTGAACAGAGACCACACAAGTTTCCGGGGCCCTTCTGCCAAACCCCTCACCCCCGGCACCCCAGCAGGGGTGGCCGAGATGCCGTCTCTGACTGCCGTCCTTCTGTCTACAGGGAGAAGGAGCCTCCCGGGGTGGAAATTCACGGAAAAGTCTGGAAGAAGAGGTGAGTGTGGGAGGGAGAGGAGGGGGCCCTGGCTCCCTGGGGTGATGGGTGGGAGGTGGACGAGGGCTCAGACCTGTCTTGCCATGTGGGTCTGACGCTCTTTCTAGGGACATGCCTGTGGGCTGGCGAGTGAGAGCAGTGTGGAAGGACGGGGCATGGGCAGAGGCACGGCGGGAGGGACCGGGCTGAGCAGAGGGCATGGCAGAGTCCCCCGTGGGGCTGGAAGTGGGGCTTGCGGGTCCCCTGGGCTCTTTCTGCTCTGCATTTTGGTGAGAGGACAGAGGCCAGTTCCCTACGTGGAAGGACCCCCGAGAAGGGCGCGGGGCTCTCCAGGAGCCTGCTCTGAGCTGGGTTTATCTCCATGCCCTCGGGGCAGACCCCACCAAGGGGCTTCTCCTGTCCTCCTTGCCCCTCTGACAACGGGCCCCAGGGCTGGCCTCCCCAGCCAGCCTCACYGCCCGCTCCGTGGAGGAACAGGGAGTGGTTTTGGCGGTTGGCACAGGGGGAGCTGTTGATGGCACGAGGCCCTATCATCTGACAGCTGCCTGACCCACGGTGGGGAGGGTGCTGGAGGGAGGTGCTGGGGGAGGTGGGGGAGGCAGCTCCTGCAGGCGGCCACACTCCTGCGGTGAGCCCACGGCCACTGCCACGCTGCCCTGGGGCTGCCTGCGTGCCCAGATATACGGAGTGGAGTTACCCAGAGGCTGCACGGGGCCCCCAGGAGGAGCGGCAGCATGCCTCTTAAGTCGGGGGCGAAGGCTGTGTTCAAGGTGTGTGTGCGAGCTGCCACTGTGGAGGCGTGTATGGGGAGGGGCTTCTGTCCAGGTTTGTCATGTTCCTGGGTTGGAGGGTCGGGGGAGATTAGTATGTTGTCCTGTGGAGARTGAATTAGCTTTAGGTAGCCAGAGCATATACTATGTGCTCAATAAACGTGAGCCATTCTGACAACTGCTATTTGGATTAGGGGGAAGGGTGGGCTGGRTGTTTCAGATCCTCCCTACGCCCCTCTCTAGAGGCTGACCCTATTTTATAGATGAGGAGACAGAGGCGTGGGCCAGTCTGTGAGTGCCACTCCATCCCTTTGTGAATTGTCACTTGGATCTGGTGTCATCCAAGACTCCTGTCCCTTGGCCGGGGGACAGGGTCATAGCCAGTGAACCAAACCATGAAGCTTGGGCACATTTGGAAGCCTAGAGCTGCTGCCCTCTACTTCGATTCTGGGCCAGACAGAGCCTATAAATGACAGCTGCAGCAAGAGAGAGAGGTTAGACGTCATGAAGAACTGTTGACTACAAAGTTGTATTTGACCTTGGTGCCTATGGGACCCTTTAGGAAGATGGAAGGCCTTTTATTTTTGTAGGAGAACGATTTGTTGATCTGGGAAGAAGGTGTGTGTGTGAGTTTGTGTGTTGGGAGGGTCAGGGTGTCGTCTGGTTTGGAGACAGAAGGGCACCGTGAGTCTAGCTGGTCTGGTTGAAGGAGTGTGTGGAAGGTGAGCAGCCTTCCACAGGGGGCAGCCCCGAAGATGGCCCGCAGCTTGCTGGGGAGGAAGGACGCTTGGCTCCTGACTCCCGTGGCCACCCTTTCTGACCATTGAGGTGGCCCCCTGGCCAGCCGCGGGCTCTGCTGCTGTCCTCGGGCGGGCGAGGAGCGCGCCCGGCGGGCTGCTGTGTTAATGCGTCTGTTGTGGAGCTGTCCCCGCCTCTGGCCAGCGGCCCAGGACCAGCACCGGGAACGGCTGCCCCCTCACCCCTCCAGAGCTGGTGCGCGGCGCAGTGTGTGGACGGTGCGGTGCCCTGTGTCGCACTTTGTTTTGGAAAAATCCAGGCTAGTGAGCAGGAAGGAGAGAGGAAGGGATGTGGCTGCAGGGGGCTGGCGTGGAAGTGTGGCCACAGCGCCCAGAGGAGTCGCTGGAATGGGGACAGGCCCTATGTCGGTGGTCACCAGTCTCTGCTGCCTGGCACGACCCCTCCACCCCCCTGCTCCTTACAGACCCTCCTCTCCACCCCTGGGGACTCGGGGTCAGTAAACAGTTTTTGTTTTGGTCTCGAGGTGTGGTGTATGGGCTGTGGACCTCTCGGAAGGCAGACTCTTCCCACAGCCCCACCCGAGGCTGGGCTTCCCGCCCTGGCTATGTAGCAGGGAAGAGGCAGCAAATAAAGGGGTCTCCAGGGTCGTTGACCTTGAGTCACCCAGGAGTGTCTGAATGAGAACAGACTCCGCCTGCAGTGAGGACCAAGGCAAAAAAAAAAAAAAAAAAAAGTTGACAGAGTCTGTAGCAGGAAGGATGAGGGCTAGATACCAGGAGGAACTTCCTGATCATGAGGAAAATAAGACACTGTCTGGGGAAGGCTGTGGAACCTCCTTTCATGGTGCTTTTTTGGCAAAGGAGAGACTGTTTTGGAGATGAGTGTACGCGAGGGTTCTGTTGGGAGCCTAAGGAGTTGGATCAAAAGTTCTATTATTGGTCTGTGTCTTGGGAGGAGCTAGGAAGAAGTTTAAAGATACGCGAGTTAAGGACTTTGAGATCCCCAGAGAGGAAAAGAATAGGATCCCAGGCAGCGGGGGGGGGGGGGGGGGGGGGGGGGGGGGACCTTATTGTCCTTTCTAAAATAAAGTTGGTGACGTCCTCTAGTCGTTGTCCCCAGGGCTCTGAGTGGGCCAGGTGGAGACCCTGCAGATGTGCCATGAGACGGAGCAGCCCTTCCCCCGGTGGGCCCCTTAGTGGACAGGGACCTACCCCTCCACGCCCGAGAGCGTGGCCTGCACGGAGCCGGGGCCCCCGACAAGGGGACACCCGGTGATTCATGGTACCCAGATGCCTGGAGCCCTGGACCTGTCCCCGGGCCTCTGCAGAAGCCTACGTGACTAGGTGTGCTTCAGCCCCTGGCGGGAGGTCACTTGGGTGTTCTGCCCCGGGCCCAGCCCTCCGCGGCTCTCCGAGTTGCTGTGTGCCTCCACCCGAGGCGGTGTCCCTGCATGTCGCTCACTGCAGCCAGGGTCACGTGCCCCGCGCCCTGCAGAAAACAGGAAGCCCCATGGGTTCGAGGGCAGCCCAGTGATTCATCAGGGGATGACAGTCCAGCTGTTCGTCCCCATCCTCTGCCGTGGGGTCAGTGTCCAGGGCAGCTTCCTGCCGGCCTCCCCGCCCCGCTGCCCTGTGGAGCAGAGCAGGCTTGGACTCTGCCTTATCACCTCTGGAGGCGGCGTGGCCAGACTCTGTTGGGGCCAAGTTTTTATTTATCTTGCCCGGCTTTTTTTGGGGCGGGGAGGCTGAGGAATGTGGAGTGTCGTAAGGTGGGGAAGAGGGCGGTGGGGAAACGGGAGCCAGTCCCTGGCCCTGCTCCCTCTCCTCGGCCCTGCGCCTTTGGAGGCTCCAGCCTCCCCCTGGCTCCCAGTTCCCTGGCCAAGCTCGCCTCCGTCCACCCCATGTCTCCCTCGGGCTCTTTTGGACCCATGTTCTTGGCCACACCTCAGGCCTTGGCTGAGTCGTGGCTTCCAGTTGTTCGAAGCAGCTGTGGTGGCTTCCTCCAAAAGTGGTTGTGGATCAGCGGCAGATGAAGCCCCAGGGGTTATTTATAGCAGGGTGGCCCTGGGACCTGGAGCCAGGCCCGGGCCTGGGGAGAGTCAGGGACTCCTCATCAGGGACCAGTGAAATGAGATGGATGAAGTGCTGGGTTTCTGMGCTCCTCTGGGTGGGTAGGTTTGGAACAGACTGGTTTGGGGCTGGAGAACCAAACACAGCCCTCGTACCCCCCACCCCCTGGCCTGACTCATGCAAACCCGCGTCCTGGGGCCAGGAGAGCCGCGGATGGAGGCTGAGGCACTCTCCGCCCAGCAGCCCCACTTGGCTCCTCAGTCCTCGCGCTGTGGTGGCTGCTGAGCCGCTGGGATCCAGAGCAGCCCAGGCAGGCACTCCGGGCACCACCTTCTCCCGCCTGCCTGGGGCGGCAGGTGAAGAGCCCTCCTCTCCGCAAGCTGCCCTAACTTTAGGCTCAGCCGGGAGCTGGGCACTGCAGGGCCGGCAGAGGGTGAAGGGGCTCCTGGGTCAGGTCCCAGGTCGGAGAATGGATCCTGCTTGGTCATCAGCTTCCCAGGGACTAGGGGGTGAGTCACTCTGCTCTTCACGTCTCCCTCCTTGGCAGACTGGGGTCCTGTCTTCTCCAAGAGCTGGCTGCTAGTGGGTGGTCAGGGAGGGTGGGTTTGGGGGAGGCATGTGGGTACCGTGACACTTGGAGGGCTTGGCCACCTCGACCCTGGGTGTCCTGATTCTGCATCTTGTGAGATGGTTGTAAGGGTAGAGGATGCTGGGAGTAGGGGATGCAGGGYTTGGATTTTTTATAAGGGGAACCGTCCCAACTGCCCTTCCAGCGACTTCCCTGTTAGTTGCGCTTGATTCCGTGGCAGTAACGGGAGCACCAGCTGTCATCTGCTGATGCCAGCCACAAGGAAAGGGCGTGGCATGCACGATTCCTTTGCCTCCCCACGCGAGTCTGGAGGGCTGTGCCATCTTACGCGTGACATTTCACAAGGCTCAGGGGGTTAAGTCAGCCCAGTAGGGTGCTGGACCAGAGCCTGGGGTCTGAGGGGCTCTGGTGCTRCGCTCTCAGGGGCTCTGACCCTCTGCTGCCCTGGAAGGTTTGGGGCACCAACTKGGGTCCGTTTGCCTAATCGTGTGCAGTGAGCCACCCAGGAATGGAGTGGGGAGCGGGGGTCATAGTCACTGCATTCTTAGGAGTGTGGCTCAGTGCCGTGGCCCTTGGCTCTGTTCGAATGTGACATGCCTGACTGTTCTGTCTCAAGACTCTTGGCTGAATGACGGGATGTGGCTGCTTTCAAGGAGGGGAGGGTGTGTGGGATGACAGTGTCAGAGAAGACATGTCCAGAGCTGGACGGGGCACCTCGCCCTCCTCCTCCAGATGCTTTTGGGGTAGTCTGTATTCTTAGGGTCCTACTGCAAGGGTCCAGGAGGTCAGCCGAAAGTGTGTGTCTGTCCCAGTTAATGGRATTTTTGTGTCCCCAGTGCAGGTGGCACCAGCCTGGGAGGGGTGTATTTCTCAACATTGGGGACTTCTTCCTTCTGTCCCTTTGGGGCTCGCCCATGGGCAGGCGGGCTCACGTGGGATTGGCACGGACTGTTTTTGGCTTCGTGTTGCTGGGTTGCTGAGGYGTCGGGGTGGCAGGGCTGGAATGTTGGCAGAGAAAGGAGAAGAGGCTGTGTGCTTGGCCGCTGCCCTGTCTGCTCCCGCTCACGGCTCTCGGCGGCTCCCCTCCTGCGTCCTGCCTGCCCCCCGTAATGCTGCGTCTCTTCTCTCTTTCCCAGGGCTCCACTAGAGTCACCCCGAGTATCCAGCCCCATCTGCAGCCTGTCAGGTATGCCTGGCCCCCCGGGGAAGGGGCAGGGGTGTAGGCTGTGGGGTCGCTGTGGGTGTTCTTTATAAGTCTTACCCTTGGGTCCCCAGGACTGAAGTCACAAAGTGAAGGATGGGTAGATGGCCTTGGCCGCCATCATTTTTCGTGTTCCAGGGCTAAGCCAGACCTTGAGCTCATTCTTTATTTACCTGCATGAGCTCATCGGAGGCCTTGCACCAGCCCTGCAAGGTACACGTGTTGGCAGATGAAGAACTGAGTTTCAGAGAGATAAGGTGACTTCTTAAAGGTCACACAGCCATCCAGAAGCAGGAGTGGGGACCTCTGGCATCGAGGCCTGTGCTAGATCTCCTTGTCCACAGATGGGGTTTCCGATGGTGGGGAGGTTTATAAAAGGGGTCTCTCTGTGTGTGTGTGTGTGTGTGGGTCCCCAGGGGGCCGTGCCTCACCCATCCAGACTGATATATCTGCGTCCATATTCTCTGGCTTGGGTCCCCACCCTCTCTGCCTCACCTTCACCCCCTGAAGCTTCTGGGATTAGTGAGAATGGCAGCTTTGGCGGGGGCTTAATCCCCTGGAGGTTGTGACTCAGCTGCCCACCGGCTGGAAGTGGGTTTTTAGAGGACCCTCTCTTTTCCCTGTGGCTGCAAACAACTGACTTGGGGCAGCCTGGGTGTGATTCTGAGTTTTCCCAGCTGGTGGCGCTGTTCTGCCTTCGCATCCTTCCTGGGAACCAGCCCGAGCACCAGGCAGGTCAGTGCCCAGGATGGGCTGCATCTGACTCTTGCCGATGGTGACAGTGTCCCCCTCCCTTCCCCTGCTGTGCTGAAGGAGAAGCTGGAAAGAGGAGCTGACCTTCAGTGTTTGTCTGACAGTGCAGTCCCTTCCCTGGAGCCAGGACAGAGGGGCTTTGGAGGGTGGGGAGGAAAGTGGACCAGGCTTCCTGCTTTCATATCCCTTTTGGGGGGTGTAAGTGCTTGTGACTTCTTGTCCCAGGCTGTCCTTGGTTCAGCATTGTCCTAGGGTCTGAGCCCCACATCAGTGGCTGCTGGGAGAAGCTTATCATGGGAGCAAGGAGTGGCGGGGGCTCAAAGGTCCAACTCACACTGGGCTCCTTTCCCCTGACCTCTGTCATCCCTCCAGGGAGAGGCCATTGTCATCCTTGACTGGCCGCTTTCCATCCCCATTTAAGCACCTGGGACCTGATCAACCCTAGTGGGGATCTGGATTCTTCTAGGCTCCTTGGTGTCCTGGGTCTGGTGTTCCCCAGCGCCAGAGTCCCCATCCCTTTAAAATACCCTGGCCAGTGCCCGTGGTGTCCTGCTGTGGTGGAAGGTTGACCAAATGGAATCCAAGTGTGGCCGACCTCGGCTAGAGAGGGCAGTGACACCAGAGGTGACAAGGTGCAGCGTGGGAGGGTGCGGCTGCCTCCCGAGGCCAGAGGGGGCTTCCCCAGTGCATCCTGGACCCTTCCCCTGGAGGAAAATCCTGGAGAGGTGTCAAGATGCGAGTCCCCTGCTCCCCTTATCCGGGGCCCAGGGGAGGGCCAGCTGCCCAGCCCCGGGGTCTCCCCACCTCTTCTGAGAACCCCCCACCACAACAGCACCAAAGACTCTGCACTCCCTTCATTTCCTGGATCCTTACAAACAGGGAGGCCACAGCCGAGAAGCAGCTCTGCAGGTGATAGGGGAGCCAGAGGCGGGGACAGCCAGGGAAAGGAGGACAGGAGCCGGCCTGCCTCCGAGGGCTGGAATGTGCACTGTGGTCTGGCCCACCTGGAGCCTCTGGGAGCATGTCACCTGAGCTTCCTTCTCTTGGGAGGCCTCCCGCCCCCTCCAGAGCTCCAGCAGAGAAGACGGCCGTCCAGGGTGCGAGGACCACCCGGCCGGGCTCTCTGTCCTTTCACAGGTTGAATCACAGGTTGATGGGGACCTGGAATTGGGGTCCTCGTCATTTGGTTGTGACACGGTCTGAGATCCTTGCCGGCCCCTGCCCAGCTGTTTGTCTGGTGCTCAGGCTGGCTGCATGGGCTTTGCCATGGGAACCTCTGGCCTCGGCCCTGGGCTGGGGATCAGCCATGCTCCGTGGCCTGGATGTGGGGAACCACACGAGGTGTCGGGGTACAACTACCTGGTGCTTGTATCGGGGGATTCTGATGTGGGCCCCCATCTTCCCACAGTCTCCCTAGAAACCCGAGTGTGAGCCGGACCATGGAGGACAGCTGTGAGCTGGACCTGGTGTACGTCACGGAGAGGATCATTGCGGTGTCCTTCCCCAGCACAGCCAACGAGGAGAACTTCCGGAACAACCTCCGGGAGGTGGCCCAGATGCTCAAGTCCAAACACGGAGGCAGCTACCTGGTGAGGAGAGGGCACCCTTGATCTGGTGCCCCTCTGCCCTTTCATCTGCGGGCGGCCTCTTCACTACTGTCCCCCGGTCCCCGGCCATGTGTCCTCTTTCCTTTAGCTCTGGAATCTCTTGTGGCCTGAGTTGACACTCCCTTTCCTGCCTGAGTCTATCTGAGGAGTGTACCTGCAGCCAGAGTGTCGCATTGGGAAGTGTGTGTGTGTGTGTGTGTGTGTGTGTGTGTGTGCATGTGGACCAGAAGAGAATAACACCCCTAGTTCATGTCCTTAACACTTGCTATAAGCCAGGCCCTGTTCAGCCCTGGAAAGGGGACCCTTGCTGGAGCAGAGAGGTGGGGTATTTGCCTCAGGCCACGGGGTCAGTGGCAGACCCAGTCCAGCATCTGTGCTTCTGAGAAGTCTTAGGGCAGAGTCGTGGTTACATGTGTCTTTGGAGACCTGGTGGCTGGCTCAGAAGACACCTGACGTGGGTGGGTGGCTGGTGAAGGTCCCCTCTAATGCAGGAAGGCTGACCTGGCCCTGGCTCCAGGTTGGTGTTGCAAGGGGGTGCATGTGAGCTGGACCCACAGGCCACATGTCCCCTTGAAGGGGTGCTGCAGGGGAGCAGAGGTGGGCGGGAGGAGGCCCCGAGGGTCCTAGGGTTGGGTAATGGACGACCACAAACTGCATGGCTTCAAACGACAGAAGCTTAGTGCCTCTCAGTTCTGGAGGCCAGCAGCAGAAATCGGGGCGTCCTCAGGGCCATGCTCCTCTGAATCCCTGAGGGAAAGTCCTTCCTTGCCCCTTTGCAGCTTCTGGTGCTCCCAGCTCTGGCTGGCTCCCCTTGGCTGGGTGCATCTCTCGGTTCTCTGCCCCCTTCACATGGCTCTGTTCCCTGTCTCTGTGCATCCTCCTCAGACTGTGAAGACATTAGTCATCGGGTTTAGTGCCCAGCTTAAATCCAGGATGTCTGCTATCAAGATCCTCAACTATTACAAAGGACCTATTTCCAAATAAGGTCACATTCTGAAGTTCTGAGTGGGTGTGAATTTGAGGGGCACTGTTCAACCCACCGTAGAAGCTCGTCCACCTGCTGTGTTGGGGCATTGTTAAGAGCCGGGCTTTAAACGTCCAAAAGCCAGGGTTCCAATCTTGGCTCTGTGCTCACTGTTTCTATGATCGGCCTCAGGCTTCCCCTCTGTAGAATGGGCCTAGTAACACTCTCCTTTTTAGGGCTATTGGGAAGATAGGTCGGGTTGGCAGAGGGCGAGTGCTCATTGAGTGGCAGCCATGGTTAATATAACAAGGTGTGTTTCTTTATGGGGTRTAGGAGTGGACGAGAGCCGCCTGAGACCCTTCCTTACTTTAGGAGTCCAGGACTCCGTGTCACCTCTGTGCTCTGTCCTGGCTCCCTCCCTCCTGCTGGGTGTAGGTTCTGCTCTCCCAGGACAGTGGTTTCCCCAGCTRTGGGCTGGAGGTGGCCAGCTCTGCCCACCCCTTAGGGGGTGGAGAGAGGACTGCCAGAGACTGGGGGTTCCACAGGGTGYAGTCAGGCATGGAAGGGCCTGAGCTGGGAGGGGTGCGTCCCTGGTGACTGGTGAGGAGACGTTGCATTGTCTCAGGAGGAGGCTCGGAGTCAGCATGTGACACGGAAACCAGAGCCGGCCACCAGCTGTCCTTCAGAACCCGGGCTCCCTTCCACCTTTCCCTCCCTCTGGTCAGGATGTCCGCGCGGAGGGGCATGCCTGGGGCCTGCATCGCTCTTTCCCCTTTGCCCTGAGGACCTCATTTGAGCCCTTGTTRGTCAGTGCGTGTCCATGGGTGCATCCAGCTGCATCCGGGGAGAGCAGGTTCGAGGCAGCACAGGTGGTCCAGCGAGCCCCTGGCCCCGAGAGCTCAGCGGGCTCCTGAGAGGAGTGGTAATGACACCACCCTCCCCATGTGACCGGGGCTTCCTGGCACCCTCTGCTCTTCACTCACGGTCCCTTTCTCTGTCTCCTCCTAGCTGTTCAATCTCTCTGAGCGAAGACCTGACATCACGAAGCTCCATTCCAAGGTGAGCTGACGGCCGTTTTGGGGTGACTTTCCTCCTGGGAGAGAGGAGAAGAGATCCCCCTCCCGTGGTTCCCTCATTGGAATCTTGGGGGAAAGCACCAACTGACAGTTGGAAAAAAACTACTTGAAGTCCAAGTGCCATCTTATATCTGGAAAAGGACAGTAACACATTGATTGATTCCGTAATGCAAACTGCGGAGGGCAGAGCTCRTGCAGTGGCCTCCTACCCGGGTCCGCCCCCTGGGGAGCCCACAAGGCCTCTGGGTGGGTGGAATTGTGAGATTTCATGCGGTTGGGAATGGCAGCTTTGATGTTCCTGCCACAGTGACTACTTGGTCTGCTCCGTGGGTTGTGCGGGGCTTTGCCATGAATGTCTGCCCCCATCCTGGATTCTGGGGCCTGTTGCTGTGTGATCTTGGGCTGGTGGCAGACTTCCCTGAGATTGCACCCCTGAGAGTGGGTGGTCTGGGTTAGGTGTGCCCCAGGGGACCCTCTAGCTCTCGTTTACTTAAAGTCCTGTGAGTTTGGAAAAGTTCTGAGGAGCCAGAAGACCTGCAGACGTCTTTCGACTGGCTCSCAATGTGGGTGGCCTGACTGTCCAGGGCCTGGAGAAAAGCGGCGAAGCCACAGAGCCCTTTGCCTTTCCTCTCCTGTCCTGCTCCAGGCCTCAGGGCTGTCGGTGGCAGGGGAGCTTGAGGGCCATGCGCGTAGCTCCTCTGAATGTTTGAGCTCAGTCACGAGCTGCAGACCTCGGGGTCCTTGGCTCCAAGCCTTTGCTTGACACATAGATGAGGAAACTGAGGCTGGGAGGGGGGACACGGCTCGCCTTAGACCCCACAGTGAGTCTAGGATGGAGCTGAGACRTGGGCCTGGGGGCTCCAGCCTGGCCCATGACCTTGACCTCCACTCCTTGCCTCCCAGCAGGGCTGACGAGCAGGGAGGGACTGTTGGGCTGCTGGAGCCACCTGGTACTGGTGGCTGGTGCGCAGTGCCCYGTTGGCCGGGTTCACTCCTGGGCGTCCTCTTCTCTCTCCTGGCTCTGGCCTCAGGTACTGGAATTTGGCTGGCCTGACCTACATACCCCGGCCCTCGAGAAGATCTGCAGCATCTGCAAGGCCATGGACACCTGGCTCAACTCAGACCCGCACAACGTCGTCGTTCTACACAACAAGGTGGGSGGGTGTTGTGGTGGAGGGGGGTGCGCATGCGTGAGCACAAACTGAATGGACTTGGAGGAGTGCGCGTACCTGCCTGTCTTGGATTGCATGAGCACCCAAGTCCATCAATGTGTTTTTACCATTCTAGGGGACAACAGATTCTGTCCCAGGGGTCACCTCCAAGAAGCAGGGGACACCAGCTTAGGTCTTCGGCTATTTTTGGAGACTCGCTCCCCCTTGCCTCCCTCCCCGGCGTCTCCTTCCTCCTGCTCTCTCCGGGAGCCACACCCCTCTCTCCAGCCCTTGCTCCCTTCCCTCCTAGGTTTCTGGACAGGCTCGGGGGCGGCAGGGCCGGCCTTAGACATAAAGCCTTCTTCCTCTTCCAGGGAAACCAAGGCAGGATAGGGGTGGTCATCGCGGCTTACATGCACTACAGCAACATTTCTGCCAGGTAAGGGTGCCCGGAGCCTCCCGCCCTCTAACCATCAGCAATAGGACACCCTCTTCCCACCCACCCATGGCCGCTGCCTTCCCTGGGCTGGGAGGATCTGTTAGAGGGCATGAGAGGTCACCAGGGGGCGTGGGAGACTCAGAACAGGAGATGGTGCATGCCAGGGCCCTGAGGCAGCAGCCTGTGCACGGAGCTCAGGAGCGAGGGGTATTCACCCATCTGGGGCCCTGGTGGGGCCACAGTGGGGGCAACCCCAGTCACGAACACCCCATCCAGCCAGCTTTTGGGGGCCACTTGTCCTTACCCAATTGTCTTCTGATTCCCTGGAAGAGCAGGTAGAAACGCTGGATCAGATCAGAACCTGGTGGAATCCTCTAGAAGTTATGTCATCCATCCCTCTGCCTGTGGCCAGCAGGGCCCTGATCCCACTGGGTKTTTTAGAGCAAGAATAGGAAACAGACAGTGGATGATTCCGGTTCTGGTTCCGTTCTGCAGGAGGCCAGAGATTCATCCACTTCCTCATTTATGTGTCGGCCACGACTGTTGAGCAACCCTTATGCCTTGCACCATTAGTAGGGAAGACTGCAGAGGGCGAAGTCCTTGCAGACGTTAACTAAGCAGTTACATCAGTAGCATCTGGTGGCGGTGACTGAGAAAGAATAGAGACAGGGAAAGACAGCGAGGGAGGGGTGCGTGGTCAGGGAGGGCCTGGGGGACAGGCGACCTGGTGCAGACACCCCATGCAGGGCTGAGTCCCGTGAGGTCTGGAGAGGGTCTCGCAGGCCAAGTGCAGGGGCAGGACCCAGCCCATGGGGGGTTGGTGCAGGAGGCTGGGGCCTTGGAGCCAGGGAAGGAGGGGGGAGGAGCTGGAAGAACAGAGCCATTCGGCCTTGAGGGCCTTGCTGAGGACSTTGGAGTTTATTCTAAGTCTGTGGGGAAGTCACAGGAAATCACAGGAGAGTCAAGAGAAGCTGCGTGATCTGTCTTTTCGTTTCAAAATGTTCTCTCTGAGCGCTGTGAGGGTGAACCTCTGGCAGAGGGCTAGTTTGATGACCTGGGAAGTCCAACCCAGCGGCCTCTTCTTAGTGACAAACATGCCCCGTGTGCCTCTGTGTGTTCTCATGTGCACCTTTTTGGGTGTCACCTCACTTAAGCTCCATAAAGCTTTTGAGGAAGATGCAATGATCAGCCTCACTGGACAGGTGAGGGAGATGAGGTAGAGAAGGGCACACGGGGTCAGTTATGGGGGACTTGGTGCGGCTCCCAGGCCCCCGGCTCTGAAGTCCCGGGCTGAGCACAGCACCTCACAGGTTTGGACAGATGCTGGAGCACTCTTCTCCTGAAAGCTTCTCAGCCCAGCAAGCCTGTTCCTCCTGCTGGGCACCAGGGCTGCTGGTGGGCTCTGCAGCTCTAGGAAGCAGGAGTGGGGAGACAAGGAAGGGGCCCTGGGGCGTGGGGGTTGGCTTCTCCGACCACTGTCTCTCCCCACAGTGCTGACCAAGCTCTGGATCGGTTTGCAATGAAGCGGTTCTATGAGGATAAGATCATACCCATTGGGCAGCCATCTCAGAGAAGGTGGGTCTCCAGGGCTGGCAGCCCAGGTCCTGTGTGTGTGTGTGTGTGTGTGTGTGCGCGCGCGCGCGCACTTCCTGCCCCTGGGGAGTCTTGTGTACTCACAGGGGGTGGAGCGGCTGCTTAGGGAGAGGTGTGTCCAGCACACGTGCTCAGTCTGGAGTGGCGTGAGCTTGAGGACGCAGGTGAGCCCATGGGCAGGCTGAGTGTGCCCACAGGTTGGCCTGGCAGTTGGTTCCTGAGGCCTGGGTCAGAGCGCAGACCGTCCCAGGAGGGCATCTGTCTGGGGATAGAAGATGCCTCTTTAAGAAGGCACGTGCTGTCCTGGTGGCCGGATGGCTTCAGCGTGTGGATGAGTCTCCAGGAAGCTGATGTCACTGCCACCCATCATGGAAGGTCACAGAGACTCAAGAGTCACCTTCTATTGGGAGAGTTTAAAATATTCCTTGGGGGGCCCSGAACCACGTGGGCATGTTGGAGTCTCCTCAGAGCCCAGGCAGACGCAGGGTGGGGGTGATTTATTCATTCATTTGGCAAAATCGAGGTTCTCTACTTCAGCCCCACGCACTGGGACATCTCGGTGAACAGGACACAGTCCCTTCCCTTAGTGAGCTSGTGGTCGGTTGAGAGAGATGGACTTTAAACGTGTGACCCTGCCTACAGGACAATGCCATAGAGCAGTGAGTCCTCAAAGGGAAGAGAATGGACCACTGCAGAGACCCAGGGCGGTGGCAGGGGAATGGGGCTGTTCTCATGGGGACAGCTTGGAGGACCTCTCAGAGGAGGCAATTTCGCACGCTGAGATAATGCTTAACTACCATATGAAGATCTAGGCATCGTCCTTTGACAGATGAGAAGCCTGAGCCCAGGGAGGGGACATGGCCAGGAGAGAGGCCAGGCAGAGCTGGACGGTACGTGGAGGACTAGAAACAACCAGGTGGGACCTCTGGTTGTGCTGCCCACTGACCYGAGGGATTCTGCTGCGTGGACAGCATGTTCAGTGATGCCTGGTCCATAGGAGGGGATGGGCAATGTCAAGGCCAGGTGGACACTGGGGAGGCTACAGGCAASATGGTGGGTTAACGCAAGCCCAAACTGTTAGCCTAGAGCACGGGACTCAGGCCCCTTGGCTGTGTGGCCAGGAGTCATGGGCCTGCCACCTGCCTGTGACGTGTCAGCCCTGTCCTACTCACTGAGGATACAGTGCTAATTTGTCAAGCCAAGACTCATGGAGCTGAGCTTCTASGGGATGACACCCAATTTCCCAAACAAAAGGTCATTTTGGACAGTGACAAGTGGCTTTGAAACAACAAACAAGCAGAGCTTCCTTGAGAGCTGAAGGGCGAGGGGGCAGATTCCAATGGACAGGCCTCCCGAGGAGGTGACAGGAGGCAGGATCTGAGCGGGAGAGGGACCCACCCAGTGAAGGTCCCGGGGAAAGGATCCAGGCAGAGGTGCAGCAAGGTCAAAGGCCGGGTACGCAAAGCATCCTGGCTGCTTTCATAGCCCCTTAGGTGCAAGGCCTGGGCCTCCCCAGCCTCTTCCTGCAGAGGGTCCCCAGTATGTGTCCCACCACCCTCACTTCGYGTGGCTGGCCTGAAGGGGCTGCCAYGGACTGCGCCTGCCATGATGGCAGGAAGCCCAAGCAGAAGCAAGTGTGTCCTCAGGCATCCCAGTTGTCACAGAAGAGCTGAAGGCCAACCTCTGGGTCAGCAGTCAGAGATGGGCGTCTTTCTGGGCAGACAGTTCTGGCTGGGCCTCTGGACCGGGCAGCCGTGGGTCAGTGAGAACCTTCCCAGAAAGGGGAGCGCTGGTGGTCAAGGACCAGCTCCCTGGTCCCTGGTGGCCATGCATGGCTGCGGCTGGTCCTGGTCCTGGGATGGCCCTTGACCTTGAAGGATGAGAGCTACGAATGGAGAAGCTGGCTGTCCTRTTGCTTGGAGGTGGTGAGCAGCAGCTCTGATGGGGGCAGCAGAGGTCTGGGATGGAGAGGCACTGCTGTTACCCCTCAGCAAGGGGTTGTCCGGGTGTTCCCCTGTGCTCGTGCACGGGGCTGCGGGGCGTGTCTGTGTGTGCACACTATCTGTGGCTGCCCGGCAGCTCCTATCTGCCCCTGCATCTGCCGAGGGCCGGGCCTCTATCTGCCCACACGTGGAGTGCAGTTGCTGGTTGCCCATGCGTCTGCTGCCGCTTTCCCGCCATGTTGCTGGTGCGRCTTGCAGGGAATCAGCAGCTGCAGGAGAGGAGAGCGGGAGGGGCAGAGGGAGGGGCTGTGCCTGTAGCTCCTCCATTTATTGTCACGCCCCCCCCCTGCTCATTGTCCCCAGCACACAGACACATCCTGTTGGCAGATCTGATGGGAACCGCCATTCTGGGTTTCCGGTTTGAAGAATGGGACTGGGGGCTGGGCAGGGGCCTGAATAGGAGCTGGTGCTGCCCATCAGATTATCTTGCTTGGGTAGTCCAAGGTGGCCCCACCCAGCCTCAGGGACAGAGGCCCACTGGTCTGGAGGTGGGCCAAGGAGCCAAGAGACAGGCGGGGAGCATTGTCATGGTCAAGCAGTTCCTGTCCCACCCCCCAAAGCCCTGTTGGCTCCTGCAGAGCTTCAGGATGTATTTGGTTGGCCTCCCTGACTCAGCCTGGCACCCTCTGGCCAGTCAGAAAGAGAGGAAGTGCTGACCCATCAATGGTTAGTTCTGCCCCCGGTTCAGACGGCGCACTGAAGCCCAGGCTGCTCCCCCTCTCCCTCCCACCCCCAGCGCTGTGTGTTCTTGCTGTGTGTCTCCAACAACCCTTTCTGGGCCTGCTTTCCCCTCACTGTTTAGAAGAAGGGGAGGTGGGCTAGTTTCTTCCATTCTTCCAACAAGATCTTTATTTTAAAAATTGGGGGATGCTGACCCTAGACAGAGGGATACTCATTCAAGTTAGTTATCACAAATATCAAGTCAAGTGACAGAAACTGATGGGCTCATACACTTTAGTGACATAAAGTGAAAGACTGTCTTGGTTAAGGTCTTGCTATTTGCTGGACTCCCGTGGATGGTGGGGCCTAATGGGAAGCTTGGTATCAGGGTCCACATTGGCCTGGTTTGGCTCCATGTGAGCTGTTAGAGCTGCTCGTGCAGCCAGCCTTGTGCAGGAGGGAGATGCTAAAGGATGAGATGCCTGTCACTGTCAGGGGTCAGGGAGGAATTTTGGTCCCCAGGAGGTTCCTGGGCAGCAAGGGAAGCAGGAAAGAGATGCTCACATTCACCACCAGGGGGCGGAGGAGAACGCCAAGTAGGCTGTTAGCCCTGACCCAGCTCCGGGTCCTTTACCTGCTGTTTTCCCTGTGGGGCTYGGAGCGGCCAGCTAGGCCTGCCCTGGGGCCCAGCCCTCAGCTGCCAGGAGCCCTGGGTGGAGGTCAGAGTTGTGGGGTGCTGAGTAAGAGGGAGGTGGAAGCCACGTTCTTGCAGATGGAAAACCAGGTCCCTCTCCCTGCCCCAGGTATGTGCATTACTTCAGCGGCCTGCTCTCTGGCTCCATCAAAATGAACAACAAGCCCTTGTTTCTGCACCATGTGATCATGCACGGCATCCCCAACTTTGAATCCAAAGGAGGTACCTGCCCGAGCCCTCCCTGGGGCCTCCCTTCCCCTCCTCCCTCCTGCCTGGGGTCTTCAGAGGCAGCCTTGGGGCGGGAGGAAGCCAGTCAGCAGCAGAGTCCTGAGGCTTCCACTGGAGCCTCACCTGCATCACTTCCTGAATCTGTTTGAGCTCCCGTCTATTTATCTGCAAAACGRGCTTGGTATTTGCAGTCCCTCCTGGCAGACGATGTTGGCGGTGGCAATGTCTTGTCCACTTAAAATGCCTTCTGAATAAAAGTTAGTATTTCTTCCCCTTTCTGCTTGCTGTTTTTCTCTGTCCTCATACCCCCTTCCTGTCTTCCTTCCTTTCTTGCTTTGTTCTCTCCTCCTCCTGCTGTTCCTCACACCACCTCCTCTGACAGGGTGTCGGCCTTTTCTCCGCATCTACCAGGCCATGCAACCTGTGTACACGTCTGGCATCTAGTAAGTATTCTACGGGAGGCCAAGGCCGGGCACCGGGAAGGTGGGAGGGAGGCAGTCAGGGAGGCCCCCGGCAGGCCTGGGCAGAGGGGCAGAGGGAGAGCAGCGGCACTCTCTTCCTCTGCCACCCTCTGTGCCTTAGCAACATCCCGGGGGACAGCCAGACGAGCATCTGCATCACCATTGAGCCAGGACTGCTCCTGAAGGGAGACATCTTGGTGAGTGCCGCCCTCCGTCTCAAGCCCACCCTTTTCCCTTTCCGGCTCCTTCCTACCCTAGGGTCAGGACAGCCACTCCCGGTGGGCTCAGGACTTGGAACAAGGCTCCCAGGGTTCCTTCAAGACCTTCCGGTCTCAGACAGCCCTGGCCTGGTCCCTTCCCTGCCCTGGTGTGGGCGTCCCTTCCCTGGGCTGACCTTTTGTTCTGGGACATCTCCAGGGAAACCCAGTCGGTGTGAGCTGACCACCTAGCTCCCCCCTGGTGACAAGGACCCCCCTCCATTCTAACTTCAGCCCTCTCTGCTGCACTCCAAACCTGCTTTTCCCTTTTGGATTCCAATCTGTCTGTGGGAACTTCTTGGCAGGACACTTTTTGTTCCTCCAAGTCTCTCAGGTGTTCTAGAATCTTCCCCAGAGAGTTCTAAGTTCCTGTTTGGTGTTGGTGACTGCTCTTTCCTGGGTTTGCGGGGACCCTGTGGGCTCCGTCTGTGGAGCAGACCAGGAGGCTCCCTGAGACCCCACCTCCCACCTCTGTCTCCCCCCCCCCCACCAGCTGAAGTGCTACCATAAGAAGTTCCGGAGCCCCGCCCGAGATGTTATCTTCCGTGTGCAGTTCCACACCTGTGCCATCCATGACCTGGGGGTTGTCTTTGGGAAGGAGGATCTCGATGAGGCCTTCAAAGGTGGGCCCCAGGGTGGGGCTGGGCGGGGCTCGTGGCAGGGAGGAGAGCTCAGGTTCAGGAGATGTGGTGGGCATGGGGGCCACCATTTTTGAGCCACATGGTCTGCCAGGATCTTCTTGGTGACAGYGGGAGGGCATTGAGAGAGAATTAGGAGCCAACCAAGGCAAGTGGCGAGGACTCCAGTGGAGGAGGTCCCTCCTCAGTCCCTGGCCTGTTTTGTATCTCATCCTCTCCGAGGACTTGGCCCGTGTCTTCTTTGCCTGGTCCTCCTGATTGGTCTTATTGGCAGACATTTTTTCAACCTTGGCTGGGCATCTGTTTTGTACCAGGCTCAGTACTAAGTGCTGGGGAATCAGAGTCAAACACCACATGCTCTCTGTTGGTGGAGCTAAAAGTCTAGGGGAGGCAGCTCTAGAAGGGACCGTTACCCCCCCGCGGCAGAGGAGCCGTAGTGGAAGGGCTGTGGCAGCAGGAGGCAGGAGGAGTGGGCAGGGAAGGTTTGGCGTCTTTTGCTGCTTTCTTCTGTGCATCTGAGGTCCCATCTATATCACGCTCAGTCCTGGGCTTATAGATACACCACCCATCCCTCCTCCCTCCCTCCAGCCACCAGCACATTCATTTATCCAACTGTTCATATACCCATCCACCTATCCATTCATCTACCCACCACTTGCCCACTCATCCATCCACCTATCCATCCATCTATCTATCCATCCATCCACGCACCCACTCACCTATTCATCTATCCATCCATCTCTCTAACCACCTACCTGCCTACCCATTCATCCACCCATCCATCTACCCATCCATCCACCTGTCCACCCATCCCCACCCACCTGCCCGCCCACAAAGTCTAAATGACAGGTGTGTGCTAGACGCTAGGGATTCAAAGAGAAGTCAGGCCTCTGGGAGCTCACAGTCTCCTGGGAGAGAGACATGCAAACCTGACCCTATGAAGTGAGGCCTGCAGGACTGGACACAGGCGCTGGCCTGGTGGGGTCCCACAGAGCAGATGTCGCCTTGCTATGTCCTCTTCCTGCAAGCAGTAGACAGTGATCAGCATCCAGACTGTGCTCAGGCAGAGAGCAGAGGGAGACTGGGCCGCCCAGAAGGGGCAGGTCCCCTCAGTAAAGTCTGCTCATTCAGGGCAGGGATGGCTCTGAGATGAGCTCTCCTTGTATCTGAGCCTGGAGGGCAAAAACAGATGGTGCTCTAATAATTACAGAGCAGACAGTCACCGCCATCAGTCTTGAGGAGGAAAAATAAAGATACTGCTGATAAAATAAATATGAGGTTGGGGAGAAGCAGAGCAAAGGAGGTTCCCAGATCAAGAAGTAGAGGCTGAACTATAATATATACAGCTTCAAAGGTAATTGATGGGATAAACAAATGATAAGCTAACCAGATCTGAGAAGAAAGGAGGTGGGGTATAGGAGCCAAATCATTCAGCTTCTTAGTGGTGAATCAATGAGACGATTTAAAATACATATTGGCATGAAATAATGGGTGGTATTTAGAATCATAAAGGTAGCTTGCTTGTAGAACCAGAAATAGAAATGGCTAGAAGTGGTACCTTAGGCAGGTAGGACTGGGGCTCTGGTGGGCAGGACATGGGATTTTGGTGTTCATGTGTAATTTGAGTTTAGATACATATTAAATGCTATTTTATTATTAACCATGTGTATGTGTATGAATTTTTTTTTCTAGAAGAAATGAGTTTTTCTGGTTAATATTTATGGAGCCCTTTTTGGGGATTCATTGCCCATTTTTTTCCCTTCTTTTTTTTTTTTAGATGACCGATTTCCAGAATATGGCAAAGTAGAGTTTGTGTTTTCTTACGGGCCAGAGAAAATTCAAGGTATACATCAAATTAGAGTTCATTCTTGCAGCCCTTCCCTCCATGCTCCATGCCCCTGTCCTGCTCCCACCATCCTCCCACTGGGCTGCTTTACAATGACCAAGTTACCTGTGATTGAGAGCAGGCCAGCAGTAAAGGATCTTAATATCAGAGTGGACCCCTAGCTAAACATGAACCAGTGACTTACTGTCTGGATAAYAAAAATTTAAAAAAGCAGACAGAGAGGCGCTCAGTTGGATAAACTGTTCTGGTCCTGTTAGGTCACCATTTGGTTATATTCAGAAACTGGATGGAGGGAATAGCCAAGGGGGACACTCCAAGGTGCTGGATGGATGATATTTATGTGAACTGAGGTGATTCAACCTGAAGCCCATTTAATAATAGCCTTTAAGCCTCTGGACTCTAAATATGGAGCCCAGTTGTTATTCTTCTTAATTGAGAACAGGATGGGAGGCAATGCAGTTAGGTTACAGGCTGAGGGACTCCAGACTCAAGAACTGCTGGGCCGGAGGTGACTCGCCCTGAAGGGCAGTCTTGCAGCTGTGCTGTCTCTGAGCTGTCTCTCGAAGGATGGGGAAGAAACTTGGCCTCTCCCTGCAAGTGTCTGTCGGGAGTGGAGAGCGTGTTAAGTGGGGGCAGGTGCATGACCTTGTAGAGGCTTGTGTCCTCCAGTGTCAAGCCTGTGGCCTCCCTGCCATCACTGACCCCAGGCAACCCAGGAATTGTCCCATAGCCCCTTTCCCAACTCCAGGGCAGATTCGCTGCTCTCTAGGCYGGGTCCCAGGGCCCCACACGAGGAAGAGGCAGATACCTGGCAGGGCTGTCCGCGGCTCTCTCCTGGGGTCTGCATTCCTTAGTGCCCTGTCCTGACTTACCCCCTGACCTGGAATGAGCCTTTTCAAGAATGCACGCAGTCAGACTCCTGGCTCCTCCACCTAACTGAGGCCACTGCTCCCGCCCGCCMGCCACGCTCCGGAACATGAGAAGTCCCTTAGGAGCAGCCTGGGGGGAGCTGTTGGCTTTCTGTTTTTCCAGCTGCTGATCTCTTTCCCTGTCCCTACTGTCCCCTGCCCGCCCCCACCTTTCCCATCCTGCTCAGGCATGGAGCACCTGGAGAACGGGCCGAGTGTGTCTGTGGATTACAACACCTCCGACCCCCTCATCCGCTGGGATTCCTACGACAACATCAGTGGACATCGGGAAGATGGCATGGAGGGTAGGTGGGGACCCGTGTGCTAGCCCTGTCTAGGTTGCCCAGCCCTGGCTCGCGTGGCCTTGGCTTTCTGGGAGAGGTCTGGGAGGTCTCCTTGGAGGAGGTGGCCTTATGTGAAGCTTGCGATACCTCCGTGCTGCAAACAGGGCACTTGTGGCATTTCTTTTAAACCCTCTGCTGCCGGCTGCCAGTGTTCCCTGGGGTCAGTGCGCGGGGAATGCAGACACTTAGGGCCAGAGAGCTTTCATCCAGGGCCAATGAAAATGTTGGAGAGCTGGAAACCAACCCACCAGCTCTGGGGTGTGGAAAGGAATCTACAGAACTGAAATGGATGCATGGTCTGACTGCAAAACCTGACATTAAGTCACATGGCCCCTGCAGCAGGGTCAGCTCCGGAGAGTTAACTGGGAATTCTAGCTGTTTATGTGGCTCATTTGAATGTGCATCAGGGGGTGGAGCCCAGGGACTCTTGGGACATCCTGCTTGGGGTTTGGTCCCAGGCTTGTTCTCCTGACTTGGTGAAAGGACCCCAGAATGTTGGAGCTGGGGGGATCRTCTGGCTAGTGGGGGAACTGAGACTCGGAAGGCAGGACCTTCTGATTTATCCCCACGAACCAGCATCGACTACTTGGACCCTGCCCCCCACGGAAGCCAGCTGGGACCCTGGGCCGCGTGGCTGTGCGGGGTGAGGGAGTGCCAGGCCCGAGGGTTCTCTCTGCCCTCCTTGCTCTGTYGCCTTGTCTCCTGCCCTGATGGCTCTTCTCTGAAGCCTTCTGGGAGAGGGATCAGAATGAGCCCCTGGCATCACGGGACGGGGAGTGGGTGGACGAGATTCAGGGTTCCGGGAGGTGGGTGCTCAGGTGCGGCACTGCAGGTTTGTGGCTTGTCCTCACTACCTACCTGAGCTCCCTGCCCCTTCCCAGTCTGGTCCCCCAGGGCCCAGCGTCCTCAGCCAGAGACACCCACCCACACCCTCCCTGCCCACTGGGCTGTTTCCCACCCCCAGCTCTGCTCTTCCCTGCACCCCACCACCCTGTGCCAAGTGGCCAGGGAGGAAGCAGAGGGACGGAGGGCCGCCAGCCTCCCTGTTCGTCGTCCTGGGGATGTTTGCATTTTTAACAAGAACACTTGGCAATTTGAAGGAATTTTTAATGCTTCCCGCCTCTGCCTGATGCAGATTCAATGCGATGATAAATGTAAAAACATCTAGTGAACCAAGAAGTGCCAGGCAAATAAAAGGTAAAACAATTAAAGGCACTGGGAGGACGAGGCTGAGGGAGGGAAGGAGAGCAGACGGACAAACCAGAGGAGGCTGGGCACGCGGGAGGCTGGGGAGGAGCACGGCGTGGAGGCCCTGACTGCTCTCCTGCCCCTGGCCCTGCCTCCTCTTCCCTCTGATCTGCTCCCCCAGGTAGGGGGACAGAGTCACGGGACCTTTGGGACGATGTTAAAGGCCAGCTGTCCTACCAGGACAGAGGGGCTCCTGTCTGGAGGCTGAGAAGCTGGTGCTCTGCCTGCAGGGGGCGCTGCTCAGGGCTCTTCTGCCCTCCTCCCTGGCCTGGCCTGCTGAGGGCTGGGACAGTCACCAGGGAGAGCCACTCTCTGCTCCTACTGTGTGCTCTCTGCTGCTGGCTGCCCCAGAGTGCCAACGGAGCCAGTCCTTGGGCAGGACAAGTGACAGATCCCAGTCTTGCTCCTGGTTGGTGGCATTTCTGGAAGACTCCATTGTGCTTCCTAGAGGTAAAAGGAGAGAGGGACGCTGGAGGCCTGTGTCTCTCCCTGGTGGTGGGCGACCCCTCACAGCTGGGGTGGGGGGGTCTAGAAGGCGTGACTCRGGTGCTCAGGAGATGCTGGAGGGGTTGTGGCTGTTCCCTGTGGAGGTCCTGGGCCGGCTGGGCAGGCTGACGGGAGGTGCCCTGTGCGTGGGGTGAGCACGCGGGCTCCAGAGCCAACCGCTGGGGGCAGATCCCCACTCCCCCTTCATAGCGCACTCTCTTGCTCAAAGCATTTAGCCTTTCTGTTTCCTTAGTTTCCATGTCTACACAGTTGGATCAATATTATTCACTCTGCGGGATTATCGCAGTGACGTTCATGAGAGGCGGTTTAGTAYAGATGCTGAGAATGCAGTGCCTGGAGCCAAACTGCTTGACTTCAAGTCCTTGACAACATGCGGGCCCCTGGGGCCTCGGTTTGCTCATCTGTAAAATGGGAATTACTCAACAAGTGTGTTGGAGTGGCTGTGGGGAGTGACTGTGGTGTTTCCACAGAGTGCCTGACACAGGCCTGTTCCTCAGAGGTCTGCAGACCCGCATGGCTAAGGGGGGGGACTGGATTTACCACGCTCCAGTCTTGGTGCCAAGAACTCGGTGGTTGCCGTSCCCGTGAGATGGGTGGTGCTATCTGCCCTGATGGGGAAACTGGGGCACAGATGGGTTCAGTAAGCAGCTCAAGGTTGCCAGGCAAGTCGAGGGCAGCTCTGGGCATGCAGCCGACCACAGTGCTGACCACGGTGCCGTCCAGGGTGGCTGRCCTCCCTGGGGGCCTGTTCTGGGCATCTCGCTCTTGCTGATATCTTGGTCCTCTCAGGAGGCAGGAGGGGTTAGACCAAGTGGGGGGCCATGGTGTGTAGCACCCCAGAGACCACAGGCTCCCTCAAGGCAGACTGGGTCTCCCCTCCCGGTACCTGCGGGGTGCTCAGGAGTGCCCTGGGAGGGGCCAGCCCCCCCAGGTAGGTGGAGGGTGGTTGTCCARCGTGAGATGGGGCCATTGCTGGAAGTGGCCACCTCCCCTGTCTGTTTCATGTGTGCTGGAGGAGGGGGACAGGAGAGGAGGGGACAGGAGAGGCCAGCCAGTTCCTCCAGAACTCACTGTGACTCAGAGCAGGAGGCGGGGCATCAATCCTCTYTGGCCTTTGTCCTCTTGAGTGACCTGCGTCCGCACTTGGTTGGCCCCTCTCTCTGCTGCACTCTGCTCAGAGCTCCTGGTGACCCTGACTTGACCACGTTTCAGGAACTGCTCTGTTGAACCCCTTCCTCACTACCTGCAGCTCCCTCTTCCCGGGCTCCAAGTTCGACTCAGGCCCTGGGGCATGGTGACACTCAAAGCCCCCCTTTCACTGCCTCAGTACCTCCCTGATCAGTCTTGATGGCAAAATGAAGGAAGAAAATCCATGTCAGTCCCCTGATTCTCAGGAGCCTGACCTCCCAGGCTGGGGTGGCTGAGGTGGGACATGACGCCCGTCTGACACCCTCCTGCCACAGCGAGGTTCCTTCCCATGAAGGAACCACTGTGGCATTAGCTCGGCTCAGGCTGTACCAGCTCCATGGTCCCCATCAAGACCTCAAGGTCAGCAAACCTGCAGGGCCGTGACGTAAGAGGTATGATGCTTGGATCTGGGAGAGTTTGACTCCAAATCCCTTCCTCCCGCAAAGCTCAGCTCCCACCCCACAACTGAGGGGGGATCCTCCAGGATGTAGTGCAGCTCACCACCACCCAGGACAGGCCCAGGAAGTAGAACCACAGAGAAAAGGGACAGTTGGGCCTCTGGGTAGTGACCTGCGGCTGCAGTGGCCATGGATGCTTATGAAGGGCAGTTGAAGGACGAGGTGGGCGGGGCTTGGTGGTACCTGTCTGTAGTGGCAGCTTCTCTGGAGGCTGAGGCAGGAGGATCACTTGAGCTTAGGAGCTTGAGACCAGGTAGTGAGACCGTGCCTAAAGGAAGGAAGGAAGGAAGGAAGCCGGGGTGGTGGCTCCGTGGTAGAGTGACTGCCTAGCATGCTGCCCTGGGTTCAATCCCAGCACTACATAGAAAGAAGGAGGTGGAAGTTCAATGTCTAGGATCTCTGACTAGACCCATGGCTCTAGGGGGCAGAGGAGTGCCTGCCATCTTGGGAGACCCCTCTCTTCTAGCAGAGCTGTCTGGGGATTCGATGGGCTGTCTCATCTGCTCTGGCCCCGGAACAGTGCGCCGCAGTCTGAGGGCTTGAAAAACAGAACAGATTCCTCACTTTTCTGGAAGCGGGAAGATCAGGTGTGAGTGGCTTGTAGATGTCTCCTCCCCGTGTCTTCGCACAGTCTCCCCACTACGGGTCTGTGTCCTAATCTCCTCTTCTAAGGACAATGGCCAGATTGGAGTGGCCTATTTTAGTGACCCCATTTCACCTTAATCACCTCTTTTAAGATCCAACCTCCAAATGAAGCAAACTTCTGAGGTCCTGGAGTTAGGACGGCAGCGTATGAATCTGAGGGGGACAGTTCAGTTTCCTGGGTCCCAGGCAGCTGGATGCCCAGGGCCTCTGGTCCTGAGGGGGAGGAGGTGAGGGTCTAGGGTGGGTCTGGGGAGAGACCGGCCCCCRCCGACCTCCTCCTTATGGCTGCCTCTGCCTCTCTCCAATTTGGTCTGGAGCCTGCCAGCTCAGCGCCCTGGCTGACACCACCGTTTGCAGCTTCCAGAAGCCCCATTAGTTCCTTGGCCTGAGTTCTGAAGCCCCATGCCCGGGTCCCAGTGCCCCATGGGTGGGAGTGGGGTGGCATTTTTTGCCTATGCTGCACAGAGCAGTTTCCAAATTCCTCTGAGCGTCCAGGGCTAGCCTTCTCGGAAACAAGGTCTAAGCACAGGGTAGGCTGCCCGCTGCCTCGAGAAACCCAGAGCCTGGCCGGGCCCTTTCCTGGCTGCCCACCCACTGCCCCCATTCCCTGGCCTACTTGGGCACTGAGCCGTTGTTAAGGAGGGGACTAGGGGCTGGGGCTGGGTAGTGAGGGGTGGAGAGATGGCCGCTCAGGACAGGCGGGAGGGAGGGAGCAAGTCCCTGGGCCTGGCTGGGGTGGCTAGTATCCATCCCCCCTGGGCTTTGCCACTACCTGCCCACCAACCCTTCCTTGGTCCCATGGGCAGTCCCAGAAGAGCAGGGGCTGGTGGTAAGGGGGCCTGTGAGGGACCATTTCTGCCCCTCCTCCAGGTCTTCTGAGACTTGGGGGGGGGTGTCTTTCCTGGGGCCTGGAAC